TAAGGGAAACCATATCCATCAATAATCACAAAATCATGCTTCACCTTTGCATATCAAATAAGTTTGAAAGTGGTGTATCAAAACGCACTCTGCATGACAAGTTCAGAAGGGATGATGGTGGAAGACTTCTTGATCTTACTTTTTATCCCAACTTGTGGGTTGAAATATATCCCATTCTAAGTAAACTTGACAAATCATATGCAATGCAAGTGTTTAGTGATTATTCTTGCAAAATCCACGACGCTTACATCTAGCGGATGTACTTGGCATGATTCGACACCTACGTGGCACTGTATCTAGAGGACTTCTCTTTTCTTCTCATGTCCTCTACAGTTGCAAGCTTATTCTGATGCTGCTTGGGTAAGTTGTTTGATGGTGTGTGTTTATGGGATAATCTAATCATTTAAAAATAACATAAATTTAACAAATAGGAACAATTCCATAGACATTTATTTTGTATGAATAATAGGACAATCCGACACTTTTAGCACATCATTTTGACATTACATTATCAGAGTTACACTTTCGAACAAAACATGGACTTTCTGGGCCGAAAGAGGGAACGAGAACAACAAGTAGAATGGAATATATCAAGCAACAGGGGAGACTGTAGCCAAACAAATAAAGCGGCTGGCAAGAAAGCAAATGCAGAGACAAGAAGAGGAACCCACCTTAATCTATGATGATTATAACTATCACGGTAAGCTAGCAAAAAGGCTGCACTGAAAGCAACTATCATGGCCATCATAGAGATGAACAGCGTTGCGAGGCCAGCCATTAACTTTAATGGCAATGATATGAGAAAATCTTCCTCGGCGTAACGTGAAGTGAGGATGTACAAGAACATTAGCGTTGAGGTAATAGAAAAGGACAGTGCTACGGCTTCCGACACCGCGAAGACATGAAATAAAGTGTGGTTTATCAGAACGGGAGTTCCTTTCGTATTCTCATTGCCGCCCGGTGTGCTGAAGCCTGCGGAGTACACCACCGTAGTTATAAGTGTTGCGACAATCATACATGATTGAGATGTATCCCTCATCCATTTCTCGCCCCTCTCCAATAATCCTTGGTGCTGCCTGGAGAATAATTTTCGAGGGGTCAATCCTTTTAAACCTTTTTGTTCTCTATCGGAGGGTTGTACCACGCTCTTCACCTCCTACATGAAGAATAGTATTGTTACAAAGCAAAAAATGGTATGCAAACAAAAATTGAAAAAGCTTGAAAACAATCCAAGTTCTTATTACCGAATAGTCATCGAATTGACTAAAATTGTCAAACTAGCAAAATCTATTTAATAGACATAAATGCAAGTCAAGAGCTATATATATATATATATATATATATATATATATATATATAAAATAATAGAGACAAACCTAAACTAAAAATGCAAGTTTAAAAATGCAACCAATTAATAATAATAATAATAATTAACAACAACATCCAATCCTCAAGTAAATAGAATAAGAGATCTTAACTTGAAATTTCAAAATAGGATAGGAGAAGCTTATCTCTGTTTATCTTTCATGTGCCCTAAAAAGCTCAATGGGTCTCAATATTAGAAAAGAAAAAAGAAAATAACATTGAAAATTAGGTACTGAATTTTTTTTTGAAAATTTTAACTATTGAATTTATGATATGAATTATTTAGTATGCTATAGAAAATTAAATATTGACTAGATTTTTTTAAAAATATTTGTAAAAAATATAGTTTTATAATATTAATTTGAAATGAAGAGAGTAATATTTTGAAAGGCAAATTAGAATACCAAAAGTGATCTATTTTACACAAATAAATATAATATTAATTTTACAAAAGCCACTTAGAGGAGAAAAAATGACACCCTTTTTTGTATCAAAAGCTTCACATCTATATATTTTTCTTCCCATAAAATGTATTAAAATACAAAATTGCTTCATTTTGTGAGGCAAGAATCGCTTGGCATAATAAAGAACACAACGTTGAAAACAGAAAAGAAATGAGAATATTTACCTCAAACCACAATAACTCCCGTTGCATTTGTAAAGCGGCCCCTGATACCACGTCGAGTCGATGAGGCGATGGGATTTTAGCAGCAAGACGCAACATGTTATCCCAAACTACGCACTCGTCACTTGGTATTTTGTATGCCGCCACAACATCCTTAATCGACCCTATGCTTTATATCTGATTGAAGATATCCACATGACGATGCAAGACCGCGATGTGAAATATTGTTCGATTCTCGTAATCCGTCTCCCAGATTAACTCCGGATACAAGCGTAAAAGCTCAGCTAAGAACTCATGATTCCCAAACTCTGCTGCCTCAAACAACAGATTGAAGGGGACATCAATTTGTTGTTGAACATCCAAGTCTGCTCTGCTCAGAACATTTTCCCAGAGGCTTCTCACTAGTTTAAAGGCTGTGATGTCTTTGGACCCCGTACCTGAAATAAGATTTTGAAAAAGGAGTATAAATGGTCTGAGTTGAGTCCAGTTTTTCCTTCTTCCAACTGGATTTGGTTATATTATAAATAGAGAAAGTAAGGCTGCATATTAGAGAAGTAACATGAGCTAAGGAGCGTCTTCAATATCCCAGGGTTCTTGCTAGCAAATGCTGAAGGCTTTCGAGCCAACATATGTAACGCTGTCTGTCCATCTCTTTTACGAGCCACAGCTAGGTCGGGATATTTTGTTAGCAATTTGATGGCTATATCTGTAGAAG